AGCTTGCTTTTTCCATGGCTAGTCATAATGCACAGATACTTTAAGGACTTTCCATGGGATTTGCATTATAAGGCAATTACGCGATCCAAAATCACTTGACTGACGTTTGTCATTAAAAAACTGTGGTTATGACTGATCATATTAGGTTATCCTGATCCTCATGAGTCCAGGAACATGATTTCAGGCCGCATGTGAACTATTATTCTCTTTTTAATAGCATTAGGCTATTAAGATTTTAGTAGATAATTTGTTATTCCTGAAAGGTACAATTTAAGCTAATTACTCTTAGCTGCTCTTGAATCCACATCTTCCTGGTAAAAGGACTGCAGCTGTCCTTCCGAGCCTGGCATGCTTACCTCACAGGGAGATACTGTCTTTGCACAAAAGTGATATGATAAAATGAATCTGTCAGCTTCAGGAAAGAACATCGAGATTGCGCAAGTCTCTATAAGTCCGCAGAGAGTTATGGGGAAAGTTATTAACATTTGTTATCTATATCTTAGAATTTACTTTCCTATTGGTAATGCGTCGTAGTGTTCAACCAATACAGGAATGAATGACAGACAAAAATCCTTGTTTCCACAGAGCTTATATTCTAGTTGGGGGCAAGACAATAACAAAAATAAGTAAATATATACAGAATGTCAGATTCTTATAAATCCTGTGAAGAAAAATAAAGCAGGGAAGGAGGATAAAGGAATACTGGAAGGGAGAGGACTCAATAGGCGATAAAAGTACTTTTGGTTTGTATGATGACATAAACTAAATAAAAACTAAAAATTCCTTTAGGAGAAATGTATAAGAAAGACAAACTATCACCAAAATGTATATTTTCTTAGAGACACATAATGACACTTTTAATACTTAAGAGGGAAGCTTCATCTTTTGAATTTCAACCCTGAACTAAAAAAGAACTTTGAATTTGTAAATAAGTATTATTTTGCTTGTGATTTTGCTACATGCCTGTAAATTTTGTTTTTCCTTAACAGGAAAGATTGTCATTGATGGGATAGACATTTCTAAACTACCACTGCACACACTCCGTTCTAGACTGTCAATCATTCTGCAGGATCCAATCCTATTCAGTGGTTCTATAAGGTAGGTGACATATTCAGCAAAAATCTATATGCCTCAGGATTTACCCTTTGGCTCATAGAAAAGAATTGCTTTTCATGTAGTTGTAAAATGACATTATCAAGACAATAGGATCAAATATGGCGTTCAAAGATTTGGGCTGGAAAACCCTAGAGTTGCTAAATTAACCTATAGAAGAAGCCAATCCCTTATGTCTCCAGGAGATCTCTTTCAGATTGATTCTATAAAAGCCACTTTTTCCTTTGTA